GGAGCAAGCCTGCGCTGTGATCCAAGACTCTCATTTACTTTATATATGGTTTGGTTAATAGCACTGACAGTAACTCAGACTCTACAGCAGTGTGTGATTGGACAACTGTGAATACTTGGGGAAGGAATTGGTCATGGCCTAACTTGAGGCATGATCCCAGCATTTGTTTGGAGGGAGAGAGGAACACCACAGAAACACTGGTGCGACTCGGCCCAGTCTCACCACAACACCCCACAACAACAAAATATTTACACTACAGTAAATATACCCCATGTACCAGCACATAAAACTCTCAAGTGAACCTCAAATGATGATAGGACTCCACATTTCAAATGTATGCTGAAAAGATTTGACTGTTTCTGCAACAACACAATACAATTTATTATTTTGTTATACACTTATTGTAATCAATTTACTTCATATATTGGAGGTCCTGGGTTCAAATCTGTGCCTCATGACCAAGTATCCTGAGGTAATAGTGGTTTTCCTCAATCCCTGAAGAAAGCTGGGATCGTACCATAAAAAATTAGGCATAACCTCTGACTTACATGTGCCTTACAGTTAATTATTCAGTAATCATTTATCCTTTTTAGCACTACTATGTGATGCTCTGTGAGACATTGAAGCTCAACCCCATGTGCCTTCATGGCCTGGTATGGGGATAGCTTTACTTTATTTACTATGTGATGCTCTGTATTGGAGTCAAAGAAAGAGACAACAAGGGACTTTGTATTGTCAGCCCATTTAAGTATTGTCTCAATGACTGTGTGAACTTTCATTTCTGTTATTTTAGGAAATAAGTATTTAGATTAGAGTGTCAAATGGTAGGATAACTGATGAATAACGAATTTGAGAGGATCTGGAAAGTAGTAGTTCTGATCTGAAGAAGGCACTATCCCAGTGAGACAGCCAGCGTCCCAGTTGAAATTCGATTGCAGCACCTCCTTAATATGAGTCTAGGCCTACAGCATTAGTGATCAGTTCTAAGCATCGACCACTCAAATTAAATTAACGACACCTACTCAGACATGACCAACCTCATTTTCAAAACCCTACACAGATACTAACATACCTCCTACTCAGTCAAGAGTTAAGACTCACCCCCTTCCTCCACCTGTCCACACCCTGAACCACCTGCTCCATCCATGACACACCAGCACAGCCAGGCAGCCACTTCAGAGTACATATAGGTACTGCACAGTCTGGTGTCAGCA